GTGTTTCGTGACCCTTTAAATTACACAGAAAGAATGACTAATATATTCTTCAAAACATCTCCTTTTGTGTTTCACAAAAGAAACTGGTCATATGAACTTGTAATAGCATGAGGTAAAGTGATGACAAAATGTTGATTTTTGAATGAACTCATTGTGTTTATATAGGAGTAAAAAGTGAGGCAGAGATTGCCAGAAAATGGCAAAGCAGGAAGAAAAGGGAACAAGGGGGAATCTTGAATTACAACAAATAAGGTGAAATGTGAGGTAGAGATTTTGTGGAAGACTGTAATGGATACACAGTACTAAGCTGTGGTCAGACAGCACTGATTAAATGGAAAGTGCTCATAAAGCTGAGAAAACAAGCAAGGTGCTCCCCAGGGCTCTGTACTCTGGCTTCCCCAAGTTTGTTTTTCTGCTCAGTCAAATCTCAGTAAAGACCCACTGTCAAATTTGTACAATGGTGTTATTTCTCCTCATGAAAATGACATTAAAACACACAGGTTCAAAGTAAATCAGTTAATGTCCATTTTTTTTAACAGTTCTTTTACTTGTAATAAAATCTACAGTATACTACTACATAATCTAAACGTGTACTCTTTACTTTTCATGAAAATAATCTTACTGACAATATCATTTAGACCTTTAGGATACAAATTATTTTAGAAGACCTAAATTTTTTATTTTTTATTGTAATGAGATAATCCAATCTAATACATAACAGGTTACTTTATAAAATATATAAATTGTGCATCTAGAAAAGCTACACTCTAGAAGGAAACATGGAAAATGTATTGATTAATTTTTAGAGATAATATTTAGTTTTGCACAAAAAAGGAAATAAAATTTCAGCCGTTTATGTATGTTTTTGATTAGATATTTTCATCTCACTTCCATTTTCCACACATGATAAATTTTACACAGGATTCAAGATGATTTTATTCAACAATAAGAATGCAATTACCTTCAAAAATACCAAGTCAACAAGTGGCAATTATCTATTATCTGCTTCCTGAGCACCACAATAACATACTGTCAAACAATCGCAAACCCTTGACCATGCAGCACTCCAAAAACATATACATCAAATCAATCTGGGAAACTCAGATCATCCCCTCAGCAAGGACAGTCAGAATACAAATCAATTAGTTTCTACTGTCTCTGGCAAAAATAAGACAGGGTTGCACATGGGTAGCTGTAGGTTCAACCCAATTTGTGATTACACTAATGTGCGCATTTGTGCATGTGCTGCTGCACAGAGGAAGATCTCTAGATATCAGGCAAGCCACAAGGTCTCAAGTGTGTATGAAATAGATGTAAGCAACAAGTTCTGCATCCATTTAAAAACAATGATTGCTCTGGACATTGTCTTGGAGGGTTGTGCACTTGGCTGAGGACAGGGAACATTACTCACACTCTGGATCTGAAACAAACAGAACCAAGAACCAGGGCTGGGATGAGTCACATGAACGCTGCCCCCTCTCTTCGCTCTGTCGACAGTGCCCGTCACTGACATCATCAACTTCTTTGCAATCTGTCAATTAGCCTGTGCTACTTTCTGCTCACTGAACTAGACAGCACTGTTAGTGTTGAACTTGGTTATGAGCTGCACCCAAATACAGATTACAATCTTGTGAAGAAATGCAGAACCAGCTTCTGTGGAGGCCCCTATTGTAACAAATCTGAAATCTAATACCTGAACTACAAAAATACGCATATGAAAATGGTCTCAAAAGTTGCATTCATGACAATCTAATGTGTAATATTTTGTCACAGCACCAACAGGTGTGTTTTTTTCTATATTAATATTACATAAGCAGGAGACCCCTCACAGTCACTGACCCCATCGGCTTGCACTGTAATCCTTCTACCTACTAAAGCTGAAGATAATTGGCTGACCTTCATCGCAAAGCACTGATGTAGAGTCATTACTCTGTAAAGCTTGATAAATGATTATCCAAAGCATTCGTAAACCCAAGAGCCTACAGTCATTTTGTATTTTAAACACATCTGGGTATCAACCTGAAATCTTGGTATGTCCTTTTCTTCAGGAATTCTTTAAAGAAAGTCATTACATGGAAAATATGAGTGTAGGCATCCCATTTTATTTAGCTCTTTGTAATAATTGTCTATGCTTCATTCATGCAAAATGAATTTTTCAGGTCATGATGGCCTTGTGGTTTATACTGTAACACCCATTCCAGCCTTTGGACCTTTTTGTATCATTGTATTTGGTGATAAAGGTGACAAAAAAAAATGCTTATTTCTAGGAAAAGCAAACTAAAAGTCCATGGTGTCACTTAATGACTAGTGTTATGTCAAAAGTGTAAATGAAAACCCATCACTTTAAACCCAACATGGATGACACACTATTAAAATCTTTGAAGGTCATCAAACAAATATGGCAATATAAAATTTTCTTCGGGTTAAAATCCTTTTTTTTTCACCAGTGAAAATATGTCAATTCAGCAGGTTTATCCATTTCTCTCAAATATTAACTTCAAGTTTTTGAACCTTTAAGGTTCATTTTTCCTTTGTACCTTCTGGAAGCTATGTTATTGGTGGCTCAAAGTTGTCCGTTTTTTTAATAATGAACTGTTTGGTCCATCATACATTTTAAAAATGCTAACATGAGAATGTTAGGGTGATTATGTCCACATCAATGCTTCTGAAGTAGGTTGAAAAGTTTGCCTTGATGAAAAGTTGATCAAAATGGCTCACATGTCTGTTTTAGGTTGCAGAGAGCAGGGGGACAAATCCATACTTCAAGAGATGAAAATTTGCTGATAATAGTTTTTTCTTATTTTATTTTCTTCACTAGAACATTAAGGAAGATTTTAGCAACAACAATAATCCTAAGTGATTTATAAACTTCATACTTTGAAAGTCAAAAAGTCCAATGCAATCTCACTGTAATTCATAACTTTCTAATTTAGTGGTTGATTTGTTTGACTTTGTATGACCTCCTTTTTGCATGACCCCATTGCGATGGGGTCATGCTAAAAATATACTAAAACATACTAAATATACTAATAATATACTAAATATACTAAAAGTCGTATATTTTTGTTTGAATTAATATGAATAGGGACGGGCAAAAATACCTTGAAATGTATTTTAAAATAAAATACCTCCATTTTATTGCATCAAAATAAAATACAAAATACAGCATTTTACAGCAAAATAAAACTCTACTGTACATGAGGAGGTATTCATAAAATGTAACTTATGATTCTTTTTGATTTTAGTATAGCTTTTGAACTAATTTCAATCAGAAAGTCCTGTCTTGAAGAGGATTTCTTTAATCACTGTAAAAAAACATCTAATGCAGATAATGAGTTGGAATATAGTACTATATCTCTATCTAAATTAGGTTTTTTTTTCTGGGGGGGGGGGGGGGGGTGCAAATGAAATCTGTAAAAATGTTAAATCATGATTTCTAAAATGTACTGAAATTTCCAGTTTTAATTTCCATTAATCATGTTTTATAAAACACATTATTTTTTGACCAGACTGGAGTATAATTAAATATTTTTGTCTCATTGTGATTAACTATGTCAAAGTTTGTAATTAAGAAATATAAAGAGCACCTGCACATCAGCTACTGGCATTTGAAACTGCCAATGAAGTTTTGTAGGTATTACCACTGAAGGTTTTATGTTGTTTTTCTTATTGCCCCGTCTTATTTTGACTTGCCCATCCCTGAATATGAATGAATCGGTGCTTTTTTTGACAGAACATACTGTAAAATAGTTGTTTCCATGCAGGTTTGAGCTGAAAAATCATAAACAGTCTAAACAAAATTAGTGACTCCTGAAGATCTGTTCTCTCATGAAGCAAAATGATTGGTCTGTGCAAGAATCTGATCATTATATTAATACCTTCATCTCTGCAAACAGTCTTGATCTAATTCAAGGCAGTCTGGAGATTAAGCCTCTCATCACATGATTACATATGCATAAGCCAAAGGCACTTGAGCTGGAAAAGAAAGAAGTGTTGAATTGTTTGACAAAATGGTACTTCTGTTTATCCTTGATGTTGAATGTAATAGTTGTAAAACAGCATCAGCTTATGCTTGAGCCTGCGACCATGCAGTTGTAATTATGCTGTATGTCAGGAAACTGGTGCTCCAGACTGTCATAAACATGCTCAGGAAGACCTTCTGCTGAGGTTGTCGGTTAAATATAATAATGAAGTAATGCTCAGTTTCTTATACAGACCTATCAATTTATTTTCATCGAGGCTTAATGTATCATCAGGAGCCACGGGAATTTATTTTGCTTTGCCAGTTTATATACTTTTAACTCTTAATTGTACTTCATGTAATTACCAAAGACTATTGTTAAAAATCTGTTTTAATGCTCTACTGAAGATTAAAAAAGGTCACCTATACTGCTTTGATGGCCTGATGTTTCACTTTTCGTTAACTAAGCTTAAAAAGCTAATAATACAATTAACTATAGTTAGCACTGCAAAATAAATAGCATAATTTTAATAATCTAAAAGGACATCATATACTGTATATTTACTCAATCTCTACTTTGCCACAAATTACTTTGTATTTACTTACATCTGGCCAGATGTCAGTGACTGTGGACAGATTGAATTGCATTCTCTCATTCTCAACATTTATTAAATGACTGTTTATTTGTACGAAAGGCAGTTTTTGTGCAGCGTTATGTTGCCACTTAATGCAATAAATGGCTCCTTAAACAAAACCAGCTGTGAACCACTGGGCTACACCACCCTGATGCATCAGTAATTTAGGCTGGTAAGTAAAAGGTTGTCACAGGTTTACTATTACATCCTTGATCAAGTCACAGAGCCCCAGGCAACTCCTGAACCTGTCATAACCTGTATGAACTCCAAGGACACAGGCTGTTGTTTACAAGATTCTCACTCTCTTCCACAACAGACATTCGTGATTTAGTTTCATTTAAACTGACCGAGTATCATTCACACCCCCAAACTCTTGACAACTCTTGGCGTGTTTCTGCTACTACCTTAATGATGCTGCTCCTCCTCGGTGCCGCTTTCACCGACTCCAGAAGCGCCGCCTCGTCGCGCTCCACCAGCGGCACGGCGACTCCACTCCGCCGGCCTGATCGAAGCGCTCTCGGTGGGATGAAGTCCGGAGCTCCATCCCCGCACACCCCGTCCTCGTAAGACTCCGACATCTTCAGGATCAGTTGGTTAGGAAATCAATATAACTTACTCTTATATGCACTTATTTCAACCCAAGAACATCCACATCCAACTCTTGCGTCTTTGGGAAGCTCCGGTAGTCCAAATTCTAACTTAAATGCGCAGACTGTATGGCAGGTTGAGAATGGACCTCGTTCCTTGAGCCCATCCTAAAGCAACTTTTGCCAGTCAAACAGCTCGAAGAAGAAATCGTACGTATAATAACTGGCTCATGAATCATTCTCTTGCGCAAGAGGACACTTGCATCACCGCGCAACAAGTTAAAAAGCACCGCCGCTTCTTAACTTCACTCACTGATCCAAACAAACTGAACGTAACACGTGCAAAAATGCACATTTGTTCAATGATGAGCGGGAGAACGGAGGGATTGCGGGTCACAAAATATTATCGGGCATCAAAACAACCCCAGACGTGCGCGTTCTGTGTCAGCATGATGGAAAAGAAACGCCGGAGTATTTGGTTGTGGATGTTGTTCGCCTCACCTTCACCGTGTATTTGTTTGGTTAGTGAAGAATGAGGAACGCTACTGACACTGGCACAACCTCATAGGTCCGCTAACCCCGCCCCTCGCGTCCGTAAGCTCGTGACTGACAGGCGCCGCGACCAATCGGACGCTCTCGAATTTCCATAAAACCCAATCGCTCATCTTTCAAAGAGGAGGAGCTTTGCGTACGAGCCTCAGGAATGCAACTCTTTTGGGTTTACCAGATGTTTGGGAGCAGGGAAGTTTGGGGTATCACTTTTCCGAAGTAGCCTGTTTGGGGACTATTAAAAGGGATAGTTAGATAACGCTGAAATTGTAAACATAAACCTAGAAAATTAATAACAATGCTTTAATATTCAATCATAATAACGTGTCAATGGTACTAAAATATCACAACTGAGCAGATACATGACTAATAACATAACATATGCAAACATAAAATATAAAATAGGATCAAAGTTTTTAAAAATTCTCTATTATTCATGAATACAGAGAAACAAAACAAACATTTCCTTAAAAATACATATCCACAATAACAATTTCTCCAGTATGAATAAGCAGTTCACTCCAAAAATGACTTTTGTTGCTTGTTATTGTTAAACTACTCATTTTTATATGAGTTAAAACAACACAATTATTTAGTGTTTTTAGGGTGGGACAACTTAATTGTCTTATGTTCAATCCACTTACATTTGTAAAAACTATTAAGTTAACTTTATCGATTTGTGCTGGGACAACATGAAGGAGTTGTGTGTAACTCAGCATTTTTAAAGTGTACGTAATATAAAAATGTATAAAATACTAGAAGTATCCAAAGTCTAAAGTTAAAGTGAGAATTTGTTTTAGTCATTGCTAGTCCCTGACAAAATGGTTCCAGCAAGTATAAGTCTCCTTTATTAGATATGGCCTGTTTACAGAAGACAGAGAGCAGGATCACAGTGAGACGAGGCCTCTAACACTTACATGATGAATGTGATCCTAAATGATACCTCGATGTGTCTTCTGCATGAGTGTAAAAGTCACACAGAAATGCAGAGTCAAAGAACATTGAGGAAAGCTTGTGACGAGCCAAATAATGTCCCAGGAGAATGAAGGCTCGCTTGAGATGCAAGCCTTCTGTGAAAAGTCGAGTAAACCCGAGGGTCATTAGCATAAAGGTAAAACCTCTGACACTATCATGCAGATTTTCCCCTGGCGTTATGTTGCCACGGTTAAACTAAACCCCGTCTATGAGAACAGTCATTAAGAAGAACTTAAATATACACTTTAAGACTGATTAGTGTTTTAAAGTAATACTTTGCTTTGCCACACCTTAAATGTTGAGCACAAAGGGTTATTAAATGGAAACTTGTGACAACACTGTAAAAGAGGAGGCCAGTTTTAGTCCACCCGTTCAGTCAAAAGTAGACAGTTGGTGTAAGATTTTGAACATGCCTGTTCAAGTTAACAGTTTATAGGGCAAAATAGTTTGAAAAACCAAAGCAAGTCTTCATCCAACTCCACAATATTCATGATTTTTATTGTTAATTACCTCACATAAAATGTGGAAGTGTTTACTTAATTCCACTGTAAAAAAAAAAAAAAATCCAGGGTTCCACACAATTTTTTTATGTTGTCCAAACACAAATCAATTAAGTTAACTTAATTGTTAGATACACTGTAAAAAGTGATGAGTAAACCAATTGCCTTAAAAGCAACAAGTTGACTTGTTAGAGTTGAGTTGAGTTGTTAGATACACTGTAAAAAATAATGTAGTAAACCAATTGTAATGTGATACTATTAAGTTGACTTCATTTTTATAATTATGCTAATTGTACTTACTTTTTTAAGTCAACTAATCCTTTTTTACTGTGTCAGGCTATTTTAGTCTGGTTTTTAAACAATTACTGTAATTATCACAATATTACATATTTGGTGGTTCATTAAGTCTATAAAATCTACAATTAGCCTGTATTGAATTTACTGGAGTCTGGAAGAGCAGATTTATTGTATGTCAATTTACTAGATACAGAAAAGCTAGGGGGGGGGGGGTAACCATTGCAAGTTGCAATGGGTTTGTAAAGTCAACGTGTTGCTTTTAAGGCGATTGGTTTACTCGCTTTAAGTAACTAATCACTTTTTACAGTGTATGATATCACAGTGTGGTTTGGCAACCTATATGTACAGTGTAAATATAAGTTGATGCATCTCTAAAAGACAGGATGGAAAATTGTTGGGCATGATGAATATTTTAATCCTCAGGTTTTATTTGGGAATTGTGTCCTTGAATGCAGGTGGAATGCAGCGGATGCCCTTCCAGCCGCAACCCATCTCTGGGAAACATCCACACACACACTCATACACTACGGACAATTTTAGCCTATACCCGATTCACCTGTACCGCATGTCTTTGGACTGTGGGGGAAACTGGAGCACCCGGAGGAAACCCACGCGAACGCAGGGAGAACATGCAAACTCCACAAAGAAACATCAACTGAGCCGAGGATCGAGCAACCCAGCGACCTTCTTGCTGTGAGGCGAACGTGCCCACTGCGTCACTGTGTCGCTACTACTTTTACACTACTAATTGTTTTTACAAATGTAAGTGGATTGAACATACAATTGTGTTGATTTAGCTTATTTTAAATAAGTAGTTTGAACAAGCAGCAAGAATATTTTTTGAGTATACCTGTGGGAAAAAAAAATATCCCATACAGTTTTCAAATATATGTTTTTAAAGCATATATACATTTATAACTTTTCTACAAAGAAATTCTGGCCACTTTGGAAAATAAAAACACATTTTAAACTGTATTGAAATGCATTAAAATATATTTTGCCTAAGTGTTTTTAAGAAAAGACATTACAAATATAAACCAAGGAACACACTTTAAATAAGACTTGTCTGGCTTTGTCTGGACACATTGAGAGACCTCTTCTTGACACTATAACAGACAGATATCACAGCTATATATTTGTGTAGTTGCACATGATGTGTAGCTTTACATAAGATATATGATGCTCCTCTAAACTTACATTTTAGAGAGCAAATATTCTAAAGAATAAATTTTTTTTATTATTATTAATATTATTATTATTATTTACATTCTATTAAGGTAGAAAATGTATTTGCTTGGAATTTAAAAACATTTTGAAATATATTTCGGTAGACTAGCCTATATGAATGTTGAAATTAAAAATATTTAATACTGATGACTTTTCTTTCTTTTTTTTTCTTTTTTTTTGCATTTACAAGCTATATTTTATCCAAATTTTTAAGCATATGTTTTCCCTCAATTATTCAGCAAACTTTACATTAAAGCATAAGAATTATATCAATTATGTCACTATGATCATTTAAATGTGTAAGTTTTATACCGTGAAATCTTTTAAAACACACAACTATCTTCAAATTGTACGGCGCCCTCAAGTGTATGGCGTGAAATAGTACAACGAACATACGTCAAATATTTGACACTTTTAAAATGTAAAGCTTACTTTGAATGTGATGCAAGTTTGTGATTCATGATCACTAAATAAAAGTGTGCGTGCGTGCGTGCGTGCGTGCGTGTGTGTTTAGCTTAAAACAAGAGCTTGTTACTGTCGAGTGTGAGATGTGACAGATGTGTGTCGAGGCGCTGTTCTTATCTTTGTGTCCTTCACTCCTCAGTTCTGCATCTTTTCTCTCTGTTTGATGAAGAAAAAAAAACAGCAGGTGCAGGGAGTATTTGTGGCTTTACTCAGAGGGGATTCTTAGGTCTCTTGGGGCCCTAAGTGGGGGTGTCGGAGATACTCCTTCATTGCCTTAATTGCACTTTAAAACTAAGTCAAAATTAAAGTGTGTTTAGAAAAAGTAATCTTTCTCTAAATGTTTTAGAAGATTAAAAAAAACATTTGAAATGCTACATAATCACATAATCAGCAAATTATGAAAGCTCATTTCCACCTTACAAAAAAAAAGAGAAATAATTTAAAAAATATTTTCATGACATATAAAGTAGCTTAGTACTTTACTTTAAGAATGATTGGTTGCCATTGGCTTCCAAATCCAGTTTACTCTTGACTTCTATAGCATTTTTAAATATATGGAGTCAATAGTGACCATCAACATATAATCATGTTTCAAAATAACTTATGTGTCCAGAAGAAAGAAACTCTTACAGGTTTGGAACAGTGAATGACAACAAAATATTCATTCTTGAAGCAAATTACTTCTTTAAGTCATGACTTAAACATTAAAAAATTGACATAATAACTTGAAATTATTACTTTATAAATTGAAATTATAACTTTAAAAATCAATTATAAAATAAATAGTCAAAATCCTGACTAAAAATCATGACTTAATAACAATTAACAACAATTATCTCAATTCAGACTTTTAAAGATCATGTCATATTTCATATAAACAGTCAAAATTAAGTGTGTTTAAAAAAAAGTAATCTTACTCTAAATGTTTTAGATAACTATAAAGCATTTGAAATGCTACATAATCTGCAAATTATGGAAGCCCATTTCCCCCATACAAGAAAATTATTAAGAATTAATGAAAATAAAAATTTTGAAGTACTTAGCTTAGTACTTTGCTTCTAGGATGATTTGTCACCATTGGCTTCCATTTACCACTGACTTCCATGGTATTTTTCAATTTGTAAAAAGTCAATTGTGACCTTCAGCATATAATTATTTTTCAAAATGACTTATGTGTCCAGAAAAAAGAAACTCGTACAGGTTTTGATCAGTAAATGCAACAAAATTGTCATTTTTGAAGCAAACTACTCCTTTAAGTCATGATCTAAAAATTAGAAAAGTAATATAATAACTTATGACTCAAAATCATGACTTATTAACAATTTTGTCAAAATCCAGACTTTTAAAGATCATTTTATATTTCAAACAATTTTACGTATGTGTTTAATCATTCAACTTAAATATGTCATCATTTCAAACTTACAGGAATTTTTCAAATGTCAAAATGTCAAATTTTTATCTCATTAATCTCAATAACTTTTAAAGTCATAGTTTGGACTAAGCAATAATTTCAACATTTTATATAATAAATATTGCCCTTTTAAGTCATACGTTTTGCATAATTGCATTTTATCTCACAATTTTAAT